TATAAACAAGAGGGTACCAGAATATCTACAAGACATATTTATTTCGCGGTCTTGTCCTTACAGATTGAGAAACAATGAAAATACATTATTTGTCCCTAAGCCACATACAGATTATCTAAAGCGCTCACTCAGCTACGATGGAGCTGTTTTATGGAATAGTTTACCAACTGAACTTCGTTCGGCGCAATCTCTTAGTGCTTTTAAACGAGGTCTAGAATGTTGGTTAGCTTAGATTCACACACGGCAATCATGTAAATCAGTACTGTCCTGTCTTTTGTAAATAGCATTTGTATTTTTTTTCCCTTTTCCTCCTTTTTCTATACTTTATATATATGTATATTATGTAAATTTTTACTGATGATTCTACCGTGTCAAAATAAAGTTTATAATAATAATAATAATAATAATAATCAATACAGACAAGGGCACTTAGTCGAATCATCTTCCCTTCCATAGACAATTATAATGAAGCGACGATGATGGCACAGATACCAACATTGGAGAGCAGACGCGAACTGTTATGTAAAAAATATATGACTAAAATGAAGAAGGAGGATCATCCCCTGCATTTTACGCTCCCAAAACATAAGATGAGCGAATGCAGGTATAGCCTACGAAATGGGCAAGACAATACTTAAGAACACAACCAAATGCAGAACTTTAAGATCCGAACAATTTTTTACCTTTAAATATTTTAATGTTTATACATAGTGTTAACAGTTGTATGTGTTCATGTAAATATAGTTTTAATAAAAATACTTTTGACTCGTTAATTCAGTGTAAATATACTGCAAGAGAGTTTCAATAAACATCAATTATTATTAAATAAAAAGTTCTATCTATCTATCTATCTATCTATCTATCTATCTATCTATCTATCTACCTTCTCGACGAAGGGCCTTCGCTCGAAACGTGGAAGTTCTGTTTATATTTTTCAAGTAGTTGCATTTTCTAGAACAGTGATATTGCTCATTTATAGTATTTTCAATTTATTTGTTGTAATTGTGTATTGAAAAGTCCCTTCAGGGAATTGCGCAATCGTTGTATTGAAAATATTGTTCGTCAATACCATTAAGCAAAATAGCTATAGACATTACCACAGCTACAAAGCGCATGTTAAAATTAGTAAAATTGCAAAGTTTGGCCGCGAAATGGTGTAAAATGCGGAAAGTATAGCCCTGCGAAATTTGCAAATTTTGTATTAATTTGTATTATATTACGCACGGGAAAATATACACCACTTTCGGCCCAAATGTGGTGTATTTTCCCGCAATTTTACTAATTTTAACATGCTCGTTCTAGCTGTGGTGTTTGTTCTTCGTGTCCAGATCAAAATTTAGTCTATAGCTGGAATCATCCATTGAAGATTGAGTTGCACCGCACTGCATGATTTATGTACTTGTTAGATTGCCTCAACCATTCGTCTTAGGGCCTGTTCATATGATCCCGCTTACCGGGACGTCTCGCTTACCGAGACGAATACTTCCGTGCGTTCATATGGAGTATTTCGTCCCGCTTGCCGAGATGAAATTACATTGTAGTTCTATAATTAGCGTATGCAAAACTTCTACATTTCAGTCAAGCAATACAAATACTTAGCGATTTTAGTGTTTTTCTTCGTTTATTTACAAGAAAAAGTATTGCTTCAGGTGGTTATTTAATACTTGTTTACAAAACAAACATAAAACCAAGTAAAAAGTGTTAAATTAAACGTACCGGCAAGACTTGTTTCACTTCATCCCGGTAAGCGGGCTGGCGTGTTCATATGGAAACATTTTCATCCCGCCTACCTATGATCTCGGCAAATTCAAACGAGATCTCGGCAAGCGGGCCAGCTCGCTTTCTCATATGAACACAATGCAAAATTTTATAGGAAAATAGATAAGCGGCGAGATCATCGGTAAGCGAGACGTCCCGGTAAGCGAGACGTCCCGGTAACAGGCCCTAAATGGCCCAAAAGTACCGGAAAATGCTCTTCTGCATGAACCCCAAATTTTAAAATATTTACCGATACTGCACTGAAATATCTGCATTATAGTCACAATTTCATAACCAGTCTGATTTTGTAGCTCGAGATATAAAGTTGATCAAGTTACGGTGAAAATTAAAAGTTAGTGACCTATATTTGAAACAAATTTTTGCCTTAAAAAGGCAACTGAATTTTAATGGGATATGGCAATAAAAATTAACTTTGTCTTAGTTACTTGAAAGAACTTCTAAAGTTATATAATTTATTTTTTATCAGTGAAAATGAAGCAATCTGATTGGCTGAGGAGCCTTTGAGAGCGGGCCGGTTTTTTGCATCCGGCCAGCTCTGAAACGCAACTGCCCGCTGTGAAATGCAAGTATGCAACTGCCCGCTCTAGTTTTCGCGCCAAAAACCGAGGAGTGAAATAATTTTTAAACGAAACAATCTGCCAAAACGTTTGAAAAACATAGCCTAACGATAGTCAGAATACAAAAATGAATTGCATCAAGCCCTAAAGACTTCATACTATAAGCACGATGTTCACCAGAATTGACAATATTTTGATAGAAATGCGACTGAAAGTCAGAAAGTTATTTGACATGTATAAAACTTACGTCGAGAAAACTATATATTTTTAAATGTTCATGTATTCGGCCACCTAAAAGCGAAAAAATTACAATTACAGCTGAAACAGATATTGTAAAATAAATGTCTTCCCATTTAAACGGGTTTTATAACTGCAGCAGTGAAAACAAGTCACGAATATATTCTCAGCCCATTTGTGTCATGCATTTTTCACTGATATAAATATATAAATTGTAAACAAAGTAAAAATTTGTGTTTAAAAACACTTTTTTCAAGCATATTATCGTGAAACAACAAGCAAAAATACAACATACCTTTTTCAATTTTTTTTTTAGTAGAAAAACGTTGATTAAATCAAAACAGATTCATTTTTATATATTTTTGATCGGATCTGAACATGAACCTGTCGTTGTCAGGAGCAACTGATTTTGTGGAAGCCAAAGCCAAAACGCCAGGCATAAAAGTTTTTATTCCAAAGCTTCTCTGCTACCATATTCATGAAAAAAGCATGTACATTTTTACTGAAACTATACGTCTTTTTGTGTGTTTCTTGCCAGTTTTCTCGAGTTTTCGTATTCGTATTTTATATCTTTCAACTTTTCAATTTTTGTCAGCCTCACTTTGAAAATACACAACTGCAGACTGCACTGATCTCAAATTAGTTCGCAAGCAATACTGGGATTTTAATGAATTTAATTTTTACATCTGATAAAAAATAAACACGTTATTTACCGGCAGCGTCGTTCCGGATGAGAAAAACTGTGCCCTCGGTCTTGAAAACGTCCCTCGCCCTTCGGGCTCGGGACATTTTCAAGACCGATCGGGCACAGTTTTTCTCATCTGGACCTCGCAGCCGGTAAATAACATATATATCTTTTACAACTTTTTCGTACCTCGCTTGGTTTTCGAAATATTTTGATCAAAAACAGTGTGCAGTCCGCCATCCTGGTTTTATAATTGACCTAATTAACTGAGTTTTTGATGACGTCACAAGCAGGGTACACTTGTTAAAACTTCTTCTGGTGGAACTAAATTCTTCGAAAAGTTTCGTAAGTTGAGTATTAAGAAAATGTCGGAAAATCGAGTTTCATATTAATAATGACATCTGGTTTGCAAGATAAAAATTTCGCTTTTTACCCTACTTGTGACGTATGCATATCGAATGCATATCCAAGATGGCGGAATGCACGCTGCTTTTGATCAAAATAAGTCGATTTACTTTGAAAACCAAGCAAGATACGGAATAGTTGTAAAAGAAGTTTATATATTATTTTAAGTATTATATATTATTTATATATTATTTTGCAAATAAGACAATTTAATTTATATTGCCATACTTCCATTTGAACAAATATTCAATAACTCAATAAGCCTTTTCTTAGCTGACAAGTATTTGTGCTCAAGCTACTCTGCCACACGTCCACGTGATTGTTGCCCTTGGCGTGGAGGTAAAGTGTATCCTTTTAAAAAATCTCTATTTTAATGCCTGTTGCAAATAAAACAAACGAAGACGGTTTTTGGTATAATTTTGTAGATAATTGTTGTAACATATCAGAAATTACAGTGATAATTTGATAATACTGCTAATAAGTAGCGTAACCAATCAGAATAAACAATAGATCGGATATTTAACTATGGTACTGTAAGTAGAGGAACAATAAAAATAGTAGCTATAAATCGATTCTTACTTACTTTGGGTGCAGATAGGACATTCTTCGTCAATATAGATAGGAACGCAATTAAGGAGATTGCAGTTTTGTGTCCCATGCTCAATGCTTTCGAATCTTAAACAAACAATTAAAAAATAGTACATCTGAATCGATAACTAACTTCAAACTATAATAGTATAATTAGTAGAATCATACCAGTATACTATTGCGAATACTGCAATTTGATTGGCTCTCTACTCCAGGGATTATTCTAAGGAAATTTTATCACTGCACAAATTAAAGCGCGAAAAAAAATAAAGTTCATATAAATTTAACGACATTTTAGAAAACGTTCTGACTGCCCTGCATGAGTGCATGTACTCTGGTTCTGCAACTTAAAGTTTACCCCATGCATGTCACTAATTATATGCAGGCAAATAAGCCAAAATCACCGCTAATGCTTTTCAAAAAGAATGATTCGGCAAATTTGGTTTCAAAATCGACAAAATATTAAAAATATCGTCCCCAGAAAACGAAAGAAGCACAAAATGTTGTATTTAACTTGAAAGGTTGGGCTCCTTTATTATTTTACTGACTATGATTTAATAGGTATTACTGAAACGTGGCTGCCAATTGAACAATCCTTATCGAACCATATAATCAGAGACTTTTGCCCAAAAGGCTACAAGATGGTTCATATTCCACGGAGTTCGAGCCAAAGAGGTGGCGGTGTAGGTATATTGCACAAAGATACTCTTGACTTGAAAATTACTGAGACTGTGAACACTTTCGCCTCATTTGAATGTATTGAACGGCTTCTCAAATTAGACTCCACGTGGATAAGAGTTGTTGTAGTTTACCGACCTCCTGTTTCAAGTGTAAATGCCTTGAGTGGATCCATGTTTTTAAGTGAGTTTTCGGTTTATTTGGAAAATCTAGTGCTGTTACCCGGCGAAGTCCTTATCATCATAGGCGTACCGGGCGGGGGGGCGGGGGGGGCGGCAGTTTTTTGGGCAGTCGGGCAATATGCGATCAACAGTCGGGCAATTTTGGCTTGCAATAAAAAAAATGGGACAAATTCTGTCAATTTTGTCTAAAATTAAGTCAAGGGGAGGTCGCAAAAATAAGGGGGAGGGGAAGGTCGCCAAAATAATTTTTACGGAAAATTTTTTTTGATACTAGTCGGGCAGAATTCGAAAAGTCGGGCAATTTTCTTTCCGCCCCCCTAATTTTTTCCTTCCGGTACGCCCATGCTTATCATGGGTGATTTTAACTTTCATACGGATGACTTTACGAACCATAACGCTTGTGAGTTCTCAAATTTATTAGATACATTTAATATGTCACAACATGTTAGTGAACCTACTCACCAATCTGGTCACACACTTGACCTACTTATAACGAGACAAGATTCGAACTTAATAAATGGTATATGTGTCCACACACCTTGGATAAGTGATCACAGTATTGTGTAGTTTAAAACCACCACAAAGAAACCGAGTGTTGCTCGGAAAACAGTATCTTATCGACGATGGAAATCACTTGATGTAAACCAGTTTCGGCAGAGTATAGATGATATTGACATTCAATCTGTCAACTCGCTTTCTGATCTTGCTCTGTTGTACAACAGTGCCTTACGTGATCTTTTAGAAAAACATGTTCCCTTGAGAAGTAAAACTGTCACATTACACCCGCAAGCTGAATGGTTTGATGCCAAGTTGCTAATAGAAAAGAGAGCAAAAAGAAAGTTGGAACGTAAGTTCCGATTATCTAATTCACCTGAAGATATTCGTCAGTTCAACGAGCACTCAGAGTATTACAGTCACTTGCTAGTTACAACGAGGCAGAAATTTTACACAGATAAGATTGAGGCAAATTATGGTGATCAGAAAGTACTATTCCAAGTGTTAGATAAACTTTTACACCGTGAGAATCAACGTCAATTTCCACCGCATGACAATCTTGATAATCTTACAAATATGTTTGCGGATTTTTTTGTCCGGAAAATTGATACAATTCGCTCTCAATTACATTTGGCTACTGTCGATAATCTGCTAGGATTTGAATCTTCCTGTGAGACCGTTGAAAAGTTGGAATATTTTAGTTCAGTTTCTGAGCATCAGATTGAAAACATTATTCGGTTAACTAACAACAAATCATGTGAACTTGATCCAATTCCAACTTGGCTCTTGAAGCAATGTATTCCTGCCTTACCCCCGATTATAACAAAAATTGTTAACCTGTCGTTGCATGATGCATTCATGCCTACCCTGTTCAAACAAGCCTTTTTGACACCAATACTGAAGAATATTTCCCTCAGCACAGATGAAGAAAACAGTTTCAGACCAATATCTAATCTTTCTTATGTCTCAAAATTAATTGAGAAAGTGGTGGATACCCAATTAACAAATCATATTCAGGAACATAATTTAGATGAAAGCTTACAATCGGCTTATAAGAAACACCATTCTACTGAAACTGCCTGGGTTCGGCTACACAATGATATTTTATCTGAGTTGGATGACAATAAAACTGTACTGTTGGTTAGCCTTGATGTGAGTGCTGCATTTGATACCATTGATCATAGTATTTTGTTGCGTCTGCTCGAAAGTCGGTTGGGTGTCTAGGTAGGTAGGTAGGTAGGTAGGTAAAACTTTATTTAACTACGCTAACCCCTACAGCGAAGGCTGATTTCCAAGGGGGGCGTAGATTTAAATAGTTAAAAGATACAAATTATGGTCATACATTACATTACATTACAGTTAACAACAATTACAATACATTTACAAATACAACTAGTATATAATTATTTACAAATTAAATTAATGTTAGTACTGTTCAATATTTTAGATTAACGTAATTATTTTATTAATTAATTAATTAATTGGCCAGGTGTCGTATACATGAATTAAACGAAGCAAGAGTATGTTTGTTTCTTGCTTCATCAGAAAGGATGTTCCACAATTTCGCTCCTCTATAACTAAGACTTTTTTTTAAGATATTCAGTCTTAGGTTTAGGCAAAAAGAGTTTGGTGGAAGAGCCTCGCATATTATAGTAATAAGAGGAAGACGTCCTTTGAAAAATATTGGTTAGTCGTTTTGGCGCCAGTTCACGAGTTATTTTATACATAAGACTTGCTACGAAATGTGTTCTGCGTTCACTTAAAGGTCTCCATTTCAGTTCGTCTAGAGCAAGTTCAGATTGACCGTGTTCGTTTTTACGGCCAGTAATAACTCTAGCTGCCCTATTTTGTAGTTTCTCGAGTCGATCAGAAAGTGTGGCACCAATGGTGTCCCAAACTTCGCAGCAATAATCTAGGTGTGGAAGTATAAGTGCATTATAAGCACAAATTAATGTATTATGGTCCACACAGATTTTAGCTTTCTGATCGTCCCAATTCTGGATGAAATCTTCTTAGCAATTTTATCAATATGCTTATCCCACAATAGAAATTCGTCAATATGAACTCCAAGCGCTTTTATTTCTTTGACCTTTTTAATTGGTGTATCACCAACAAATACATTTGGAGCAGCAAGTAAATTATTTATGTTGTACCGAGATCCTATTAGTAGATACTCAGTTTTGACTAGATTAAGAGATAATCTATTTGCAGAAAGCCATTGTTTAACGTTGGTAAGGTCATGATTTATGATTTATGGCCACCTCTACATCTTGGATTGACTTGCCAGATACAGTTAGAGTCGTATCGTCGGCAAACATTCTTGTCGACGAGTACTCCAAACTGTTAGGCAGATCATTAATGTAGATCAAGAATAAGAGTGGGCCAAGAATTGAACCTTGAGGGATTCCACATGTAACCAACTTCGTGCCCGACAGAGCGCCATTAACGGAGCACATTTGGGTTCTATTCGCTAAATAGGATCCTAAAAGGTTTAATGATGGCTTCTGTAGGCCATAAAGATCAAGTTTCGTTAAGAGGATGTCATGATTTATGGTGTCGAACGCCTTTTGTAAGTCCAGAAAAACAGCTATATTAAACAAACCACGGTCCATATTAATAAACCATTCATTTGTACTATCTAAAAGAGCAGAGGCTGTAGAATGAAACTTCCTAAAACCAAATTGACGAGGGGACAACAACTCCTGTGTAACAAGATACTCATAGAGTTGTTCGTATAATACTTTTTCAAAAAGTTTACTTACTACAGGGAGGATAGAAATGGGGCGATAGTTGTTTAATAAGTTTCGTGGGCCGTTTTTAAATATGGGAGTGACTCTTGCTATTTTCCACTCAAAAGGAACAGTTGAACTTATAATGGCCATATTGAAAATTTTTGTCAATGAGTTTGTAATTACAGGAGCAGCAATGCGAATAATTTTAGCAGGGATTTTGTCAATTCCAGTATTTTGTCAATTCCAGTATCTGGGCAGTGTTTGAATTGGTTTCGTTCCTATCTCAGCGACCGTACAACAAGAGTTATTATTGATGGAAATATAAAACGTGTAAACTTTGGTGTCCCCCAGGGATCTGTCCTTGGCCCAAAACTTTTTACACTATACATATTGCCACTGGGAGATATTGCACGCAAACACAATGTACAGTTTCATATATATGCTGATGATTGCCAACTATACATATCCTTTAAGTATGAAAATAGATTGGAAACCATTGATAGAATGGAATCTCTGATGCATGACATAAAAACTTGGATGACAAAGAACATGGTGAAGCTCAATGATGATAAAACAAAGTTCCTGGTTTTGACAGGTCCTCGTCGAGACTGCTCTGATTTTCCTTGCTTGTCAATCGAAAACGAAAGTATTGTTAAATCAGAATCAGTAACTCTCTTAGTAGTAGAACTTGATGACAAGCTTACCTTAAAGAGTCATGTTCGTAATGTTGCGAAAAGTTGTTTTTTCAAGCTCCGCAATATGCGTAAGATTAGAAAATGTATTACTGAAGATGCAGCAAAAATAATGGTACACAGTATGATTACATCAAGGCTTGACTATTGTAATGCTATTCTATATGGGTTACCAAATTGTTACTTGGACAGGTTATATAGTGTGCAAAAGCTGGCTGCACGATTAATCACAGGAACAAGAAAGTACGACCATATTACACCGGTATTGGAAAGACTCCACTGGTTACCAGTGAAAAAGAGAATAGAGTACAAAATTCTGTTACTTGTGTTTAAATGTCTCCAAGGAACTGCACCAGAGTACTTTTCTGAACTGTTAAAAAAGCGTGAAAACAAAGGCACTAGAGCAGATGACAAAAACCTTTTGGTTATTCCTAGGTTTAAGAAGGTTACCCAAGGTGGACGATGTTTTGGAAGATCTGGCCCAACACTATGGAACAATTTACCAGACAGCTTGAGACTTGAGACGAGTTTTAGCATTTATAAAAGACGTTTAAAAACGCACTTTTTTGAACTTTCTTATAAGTAAATTAGGTCTAGGTCACATTTTTAAACTTTGTAAACTTTTTTACTAGTAAATTAGGTTTTGTCCATATTTTTAATGTGGTATGAATGTAAAGCGCCTTAGAGAACTGTAGATTTGGCGCTATAGAAATTCTGTGTATTATTATTATTATTATTATTATTATTATTGATAAACGTTAAACCAATCACAGCACAGGAAAAATTCAATTTCCCCAGAGCCATGGCCTCCCTCGCCCGCGCACAGGCATTGCTCTGGATTCGAGATTGAAAATATGGCAGTTAACGAAGGAGTAGAAGATAATTAAAATATATGCAAAAGCAGCTTCAGTTTGCCTGTTTGAGCTTTAATTGAACTGAAAAATAGTTTATATATTTTAGTTCTACTCATTCAGAATTTATTGAATTTAACCACAATTCATTGGGAACCCAAGCGTTTGTTAGAAGTTAGAACATGTACAACAACTAAAAAGGGTTTGCTTTATTAACATTGGTTTAATGAGTATGGTATGAAATAATAGTTTCTCATTGCAAAGGATCACAGTAAATCGACAGGTGGTCATCTTTCTAATTATTATATTCATCCAATATGTATTTTTTAAAGCTTGAATAGTTTCCATACACTTCACATTAATGCAGAAATACTCATAGCTACTTATTCAATTAACTCGTTGGAGAAACCATTGACATTGTATATACCATTACTGCATGAAGTTGAACAGTGTATTATTGCATATACATATTTAATCTGTAGTTGTACACAAAAATTGTTGAGTAATATTTATAATAATAATAGTGGCTTTATTTCCCACATTTCAATAGCGGATACGCTAAATTATACTTGTTAAAAACTACAACTGATTCTAGAATATTACATGCATATACAAAATTATATCTAAAATACGACTAAAATATTTCTAAACATTAGTATTTAGGTTAAGATGATCGCCAATTACACTACTCTTATATTCCAAACACAAAATCTGCCCACCTGACAAAACAATTTCTTAGCATCATATTAACGTTCTCAATTTAAAAACTACAGTTCTAGCCTATCGTTATATTAATCTATTGCATATACTAACGGACTGCGTTTAAATCTTTCAGTTCTGCAGAAGAAGTTATAAAACATGAGCAGCAGAGTTTATACATGTTCTGCAAGTGTTTTTGTTATGTTGTCCTGTCTCTATCTAACTCTCAGATTGATTAGGATTGCAAAGTATACCTTCACTATATTTTTATTGTTATTGTACATTGCCACAGAGAAGCTGGCTTATTTATATTACATAAAACCGGAAGTAACTAACCGGATATGAATATACAACAGTTTTAAATAGCCCAAAAAATTATCTCTCTAGGAAATAACTCTATTGACGAAATACTGTCTGAATTTTATGTAAATTATCAAGATTGAAAGATAATAGACCATAATATACTGTTGTTTAGCCTAATAATAATAATAATAATAATAAACTTTATTTAAAGAAGGTGCAAATATACAAAAACCAGTTTAGCAACGCTAATCTTACACTGGGCCTTCTGTTCAACTGTTATCGTCTACTTATTACAAATTTACTATTAAAACTACACAATAAATTGGACATCAGTACAACAAGAACATATAAAAGTCGTACAAACAAATAACTTATATATAAGTATCTAAAAAGTATTTATAGGCTCTTATTTTAAAAGGCTCTTATTTTAAGCCTACTGTCTTCTTAGAACACTGGACTAATCAGAAATGTCTTGAGGCTGCATGTCAAGAACAAAGCAGAAGTACAGAAAATTGAAAAATCCTTTTTGCAACAGTGCAGTTTTGTTGGAATAGTGAGCCTATACACATGTTTCACACATTATAATATAAAAATATATACGTTTGTATTTTATGTAGTATGAGTTATAGCCTACCGGTACTGTAGCAGAAAATTAAGATTAGGCATAATATGCAAATTCAGCAATTAAACTATTTCAGTCTGCGTGTGAAACTTCACTGTACGCAGTGGTGCCTAAATACTTTGAATTTGTACTCGAGTAAAAGTAGAAGTAATTAACAATAAAACGACTTGAGTAAGAGTAAAAAGTACTACAGTATGCTTGAAGTGTATGAGTTGTTCCAGAAAGGACCATATTTTGCATAAATAGTCTGTCGCTTTTGTTTTTTCAACAACTGTAGGGAGCCATCTTAAATTAAAAAACCTATGGTTTTCGTCGAAAGAAGGTAGTTTAATTCTCGCTTGCAGAAGTATTTAAATTTATTTTAGCAGTCAGACAATTTTGTAGTTTACACATGATGTAAGTGTGAATTTTACAATTGTGCAAATGAGGCATTTTTGTGTTGCGCGAAATGGCATATCCTCAGAATGCGCGAAATAGCATATCCGAGTACTGTTTTCCGGTTGAATACGCTAGACCTATCTACATTGTGATCATGTGTATATAAAATGTGACAATGCGTCATTCAAACATTTTGCTGGATCTGCCCTGAGTTCACTGAGTCATACGACTAAGCACCCTCAAACCTCTTGCATGTCCTAAGATTACAGGCTGAACAGGTAGACCAAAGCTTAGTTATTAATAAATAAATCCTTCAATTGCAACATATTACTTGAATTAGTATTTTTGGGTTATCAGGATCCAATGTTTCAAACATTTCTGGTATTTTTTAAAATTATCAATGTAATTTTGGGTATTTTTGTAGATTTATATCAGGTATATAGGATACCAGGATCCCCCCCGGCCGACCCCAAGTAATTTTGACAGCTATAAATCACTTCGAATTACTATACGCAAAAACATAAAGTTTTTGCTGATACGATTGCAAGTTATCCTAAATTCCCATGTCGGCAAAAAGCCTCGTGTTTTTACGCACCATTAGTTCGTGGCTGTCAGATCACAACAATACTGAAGGATCTACATTTTCATTATACACCCTGTAGAACGCAGGCAAAAGTGATAAAAGGCAGCCAATTTATTCCTGTGTTCATGTTTCCCATCCGTCTAAATTTATTCACGTACCGGGAAAGGTTTCCCGATATATGCAAATAAAAGCTAACCTCCTCAATATCGATTCCCACTATTTCGATATGATCAATTAGGAAAATACGCACGAGGCATTTTTACACAAAACGTTACTGCAGTTCGTAAGAAGTATTTCACTTGTTTTTAAGAGACGATTATGCAAAGCGTCCACGCTGGGACGAAACTTTAAATTCTTGTTCTTTCATTTGTTATGCAGATTGAATCATTGTGAGGGAATTTCATAATAACAATTTCCTGGTCAACATGGGAATCACCTAAATAATTTAGTCGTATTCCTACAAATGAAATAATATATTCATTCGCGTTCTCAACGGACTCGATTACTCAAACATGCTTTCTGGTAACACTTTTTTTCGTATGATAAATATGCTAGATGATAATTTAATTTATAAAACCCATCGTACTTTTCGCGCTTGGCTTTTGCCATATAGCTTAAGATTTTGGTTTACGAAACACAAACAGTGCTCAATACCATATAGATAGAGCGTAATATAGTTTTTCGTATATATATATATATATATATATATATATATATATATATATATATATATATATATATATATATATATATATATATATATATAGTGGTTTTTGAGTTGTTTTCATACGAGTGTATACCAAACCGGGCAAGCAGAAAATTCTACTTGACCGCGGCTGGGATTCGAACCCGCGACCTTCGTATTTCTAGAACGATGCTCTACCGTCTGAGCTACAAGGTCAAGCTGAGAATGACTTGTTAAGTTATGATGTTAGTTGCATTTCGGAGGTTAGTCCTTCAATGCGTAAAGCCAGCTATTAGTCTGGCAATGTTGTATGTGAATGTTGTGGTTTCCCACGTTTACGATTCCACTCGTGTAACGTTATGTAGTGGTTTTTGAGTTGTTTTCATACGAGTGTATACCAAACCGGGCAAGCAGAAAATTCTACTTGACCGCGGATATGCGTGCTAGTTTGGGAGAAACAACTCAAAAACCACTACATAACGTTACACGAGTGGAATCGTAAACGTGGATATATATATATATATATATATATATATATATATATATATATATATATATATATATATATATATATATATATATATATATATATATAAACAAGTCGTTCTCAGCTTGACCTTGTAGCTCAGACGGTATAGAGCATCGTTCTAGAAATGCGAAGGTCGCGGGTTCGAATCCCAGCCGCGGTCAAGTAGAATTTTCTGCTTGCCCGGTTTGGTATACACTCGTCTGAAAACAACTCAAAAACCACTACATAACGTTACACGAGTGGAATCGTAAACGTGGGAAACCACAACATTCACATACAACATTGCCAGACTAATAGCTGGCTTTACGCATTGAAGGACTAACCTCCGAAATGCAACTAACATCATAACTTAACAAGTCGTTCTCAGCTTGACCTTGTAGCTCAGACGGTAGAGCATCGTTCTAGAAATACGAAGGTCGCCGGGTTCGAATCCCAGCCGCGGTCAAGTAGAATTTTCTGCTTGCCCGGTTTGGTATACACTCGTATGAAAACAACTCAAAAAACAACTACATAACGTTACACGAGTGGAATCGTAAACGTGGGAAACCACAACATATAGGCTACGTAAACGTGGGAAACCACAACATATATATATATATATATATATATATATATATATATATATATATATATATATATATATATATATATATATATATATATATATATATATATATATATATATATATATATATATTTATATCTTAAAATTAATTATTGCTACTCAAGTTTCACGCCTTATTCAAGACGATCTTCAGGCAATCCAGATTGCCTGAAGATCGTCTTGAATAAGGCGTGAAACTTGAGTAGCAATAATTAATTTTAAGATATAAATATATCTTGCTCTACTTTTGTATTAGTGTTGAGCACTTTATTATCTACTACAACAAAACAAATTATATATATATATATATATATATATATATATATATATAT